CACACTAGGGAATCAGTTTCTGTAGGGCTCTCCACTTTCATGATTGATCTTAACCAGGTTGCCAAGGCAGTTAACAATGCCACAGAGAGGTCCTTGGTACTTATTGATGAGTTTGGTAAAGGGACCAACACACTGGATGGCCTGTCCCTTCTGGCTGCTGTCCTGAAGTACTGGATCAGACAAGGAACACAGTGTCCACAGGTCTTTGTCTCCACTAATTTTCACAGTTTAATGCAGCTAGAACTCCTGCCTGACACACCTCTTCTGGAGTACCTGACTATGGAGACCCACCAGGATGGAGATGAGCTGATATTTTTCTATCAGATCAAACAGGGCATGTCCACTGTTAGTCATGCTGCCAACATTGCTGCATTAGCAGGAATGCCAGCCAAAATTATTGAAAGAGGAGTGGAAGTGTCAGAACTGATTCGCAATGGAAAAGCTATCAAACGTATTGATGATCCTTCAAAAGGTGATCGGATGGAAAAATGCAAATCTGTTGTGGAAAAGTTTCTTTGCCTAGACCTTGATGATCCCCACGTGGACTTAGAAGAGTTCATGCGTAAAGAGGTGCTGCCTTCTGCAGCCTCAGTCATGTAACGAGTGTGTTGTGTGTAAAAGCATAGATTACATAATGTCTACCATGTTCAGTCAGACAGTTTGGTAACCTAAAGAATGATTGCTATGACTAACGCCTCACACTACATTACTACATTGTAACATACGGTCTATAGTTATGACCTTTTTTTAAAAAAAAAAAAAAAAACAAACACAAAAACCACCAAGTACTGTAGTTACATATCTCTACAATATGGTGTATGATATGAAAGCAGGAAGACTGAAAGAAGAGAATTTAAGAACCTCTTCCAGCCATGGAGTCAACAAGTTTGTGTATTTTCTGCCCTTGTTAGATCTTCAGATTAAAATAATACTGTAGAAAGATCACAAAGCAATTCTTCTGATCTCATAACACAGTGAAAGCAAAGTGCTTATTGTTTTGTATTGTGCCAAAGGGATCCTTTCAGCCATTTTAGGATCAGCATCTAAGATTCCAAATAAGTATGTGCCCCAGACTCCCATATCAGCAACAGTTGTCACAATACCACTGATTTACAGGCTGATAAATGTAAATACAGAGAGATTTAATGAGCTCTGTGGCTCTTCTTGTGCCAGTATTCCTGTTTAAAATGCCGGAGATCCCAGGAGTTACGGTAAAAATAATTCTGGAGATAATAACCAGCAGGGACTGATAAAGGAGAAGTGTTTTGGTTATACTGAGACTCACTCTCCTCATGAGGTCCTATATGGTACAGCTATGTATCTATGTATATGGGTATAAATAAAAGCAAAATTACAAATCTAGGAAACTGAAAAGTATACTAGGAATGTAATACAGAAATTCACATCTTATATTCTATTTTTGAGTACTGAGTAAAACTTAAAGGAGTAATACCAGAAGGGGAAGATTTCCCTTCACTTCTCTTGTCATCTTTACTGAACACAGTATTTGATGCATGCACATGCAACAAAAATTCATTAATAAATTAATGATGCGGGAGACATATTATCTAAGTACAGCAGACATAACAGCTATTCCTGCAATGAGATAAGTGCCTGAGATTCCTTATCTAAATAAGACAGAAGAGACATGAGCTAGCTTATTGTCTGACTGCCCAAACTGGCTGTAACTTCTTATAGGATGGCTAATAAAAGACATCAGCAGATGTACTACATCTCTCTTCAGCTATCCTTGATTTCACGAAGCCAAAAATAGTAACATCACAAACTCAGAGAAAATTTACATGCAAAGAAAGTAATTGCCTTCATAATTATCAGTATTAAACATCTGTCATGTCTACCTGAAAACAGCAACAAGATGACTGCACAGCAGAAGGATTTCAATTTGGAGACATTGCTTTCGGTTTGATTCAGTGTGGAATTTTCCCTCCTTCGTGATGAAGGAATTATTATTACTGCTATTATTACATTTATTATTACTATTGCTGTTATTGTTAATAAATAATTTATTTAATAACTTATCTATATATGAAACTAGGATAGTGGCAAAAATTTTACATAATTTACATTAAAAAATACAAGAATAAATAACTGAATCATGCAGTTATTGCTATTTCCAGTGCAGTCATAATAATACTGTCTCCAAAACAGTACCTAACACCCTATGTAATTACTATTGAAGCGGAATGGCAATACCGAATCAGGCCGTGTACAACACTTGTAAGTGTTGTAAATACAAATGGATTTTTCTCACTAATATATTCTCTTTTACTAATTATACGTACAGCATTCTAAAGAAATACTGTACAGAAGAATATGATACATTAAGTATTCATAGATTCTATTTTTTGGTATTTTTTCTTGTCAACCACTGTATAGGCTAAGGATATGCTCCATACTAATTAAGCAGATGCTATCAGAGTAATTTAGCTGTCAGTCATCTTCTACTTATGAAATCCATTTCACAGTATCTGCAGTTCTGGCAGTACTAGGTATATCAAAGAATATCCAAATGTCATACAGCATTTATCAAGTGTGCCTCACAACATGCCCTGAGATAAACAGCAGTCTGGATGAATCAAAACCACAAGGGTTGTGAAAAACCTGTGGCCATACAGCAGGCTAGGTGAAGAAGCAGGAACAGAAATGTTATCTTCAAGTGCAAAACTCCAGTTGCTTCTTTCATTATATTTCGTTAGGTTCTTTGAATAGAAGATGACGCTAACTCAATTCTTACCATTCAAACAACTGGGGAAACAGCTGAACATGTGCAAGTAAATTATATCCCTTTACCTCCTCCCACAAGGACACCTAGAAGTACACTCTATCTCCTTATTTTGGGGAAGTTTCCAGTGGCACATTTGATCTCAGAACTGCCCAACTAAGCCTGAAGAATGAGCTGCTCCCACTTCTGAGTAGGTAAATAAGTTCTTTAACCTGAGAAGCTGAAGGGAGTATAGTAACCCAGACAGCTCTTCTCTAAACCACTTTATTTCACATTCTTATCCTTTATTAATGGCTGTTTCCAAGTTTTTTGCATTTACCGTTTTTAGCTTAATGCTGTGTCTTCAAAGTGGAAAGCTGATTTCTTAAGATATTTACTAATTTTAAATTCTCAAATTCTTTGCTTTGTAAATGTCATTAACAGTTTGGGAAAGTTAAAATCTTTTCAGAATACATGCATTTCAAAAATTCTTTTAGCTATATTAAGGTTTTAAAAACAGGTTGTTTTTCTTTTCAGAGATAACTTTGGTGGGATTTAGATGCCATTATGAGGAGAATTGCTTAACAGAGTATTTATTCAAATAAGGAAACTTACATTTAAAAAAAATTAAATATATATATATATAGCTGTGAACTATACTCAACTACTTTAAGTTCTATTTGCTCTTTTTTATGCTTTCTCATGTAATCTTCATCCACTCCCCCTTTCTTGCTTTTCATACTGTTGTATGATCTGAAAATGTAATTAGACATTATATTAAAACATATTACAAAATAGTTATTCCTTTTGTTTCATGCTCTTATTATTTTCTGTCAATGCATAAAACTGTCTCACTGATACAATAAAACAAAAGATAGCAAAGACCAATGCTTATGCCTGACAGTGGATTGACAAGAGAAAAATATACAGATTTATCTATAGAAACATGGTTTGTTTCTATACAGTGTATCTTTATAAAGCCACAGCTGCTGCATTATCCAGCATTATGGAGGACTAAGGAAGATGATTTGGAATGACACTGACCTGGTTCTGTCAGCAGTAGTAAACATCAGAACACAGAAAGTATGCACCCTGACTAATAGCTCACACTAGGCAGAAAAATATAAACAAAATTAAAAAACAGCCCCCCAAAACAACCAAGAAACAGAACAGCAAAACCCCTAGCTTGGCTTTCTCAGATGTTTTAACCAAAGAGGTAAATTACTGAGCAGCCAATCCTGTAGAAGAGCTGTGGATTTTTAAAATGAGTGTTAACAACTGTTAATACAAGCAAAAGCTTATGTGAGCTTACAAATTTAGTAGCTATAATATACCACCTACAGCCTGTGGAAAAGTCCTTATTTCCATTTCAGAGCAGGTATGTGTGCTCTTAAGTTTCTCAAATCTCACCACCTTCTTTCAACTGATTTCACAGTACTAAATTAAAATGTGCACCTTCAGCATTTTTAGAGTTATTTATGATAAAATTTTTAAGTATTTTTGTTTAATACTTAAAGAAAAAAAAAAACACTTCAAAATATTTACATTATGTACTTCAGTTCTTATTTATTTTTTTTTGTCCCTGGAAATTATTTTCCTGGTCAATGTTAAAGGATCACATTCAACATTCTAGATAATGTCAGGAAAAAAAAAAAAGGAGGTATACCTTATGTTAAATACTCAGTATTTCTGTTAAATTAGTATGCAATGCAATTCTAGATACACCAGTATTGCTCATATATATTTATCATCACAACCTACTTTAATGTATTTCTGTATTTTTTACAAAAAGCTAATAAATAGACAGGAAATAACTACCTGCAAGAGAGACTACAGAAGATGTGTTTTATCCCTACTCTGAAATTCACCAAACCATATTCAACAGACTGAACTGACAGTCTGCCTATTATGCATAACACAAATTCCACTGTTTATTAGCTTATTTCCTCCAATACAGGAAGAAAACAAAAGTATCCGAACAAACTGCATACATATAATCTACACCCTCATAATAATTCTGTAATTTTGAACAAGTACTTTCATCCTGTGGTCTTGCCTAACAAAAATAGAAAATAGTACCGAGAATATCAAGACTGGTACAGATGTGTGATAGATGTACTGATTATTTTCTTCTTTAAAACCCCAGTATTATAAAATCTTACCTCTTCAGCTGCTTACAAAGTAGAAAGTATGATGCTATTGCATAAGCAACTCCTTTGTTCGACTCCAAATTAAAACTTTCTAGATTGCTGCTGAGCTGTGTGAAATGTGAGCTCACCTGCTTACGTAGTGGTGTGGATTTTGACAACTTCATGAAGGTCAGATGTGGTTTAAAATCTCTTTCTTCTCCTGCCAAGATGCCCTTTTCTTGAAATATCTTCTTCATAGTCTCTGAGAGGAGAAAAAATGTAGAGGTACAAAGATGTTGCATGACAGAATGCTTAAAAATATGCTTTCAACTGTAATATGAGTTACAGCCACCCCACATAGAAGAAACAAGATGATGAGTACTTTAAAAGGCAGAGAGATTTCTAGTTAACTTCAAATGTACATATTATTTCACATGGAAAATAGTCTTATATTTGCAGTTCCTATAGGTCACAAATTTGGCTTTACTGAAATAATGGCAAGTAGAAAGCTGTCCATGCTGTCTGCTTTTGCTACCAAAATAGGAACATGACAGAACTGTTCAGGAGGTACTCTCACTGGAAGCTTTGGAAACTTCAGGAAAACTCAAGAGTATCTAACAGAATGGTCTTTCTTCAAAAACACTGTTCCGTGGCAAATTCTGTGTATTTGGGTAACCTCTCACTCAGACCAAAGGAAATCTAAAACTGAAAGCTCAGAGTTCTTGCCTTGGATTTATGTGGCAGAATTAGAGAACATACCAGGTATGCTGATGCTTTTTGTTTGCTGGGGTTTTTTTTATGCTTCACTGCTGCCTTCCAAGCTAATTTACCGTTTTGAATGTATACTTTTATCTGCCTACAGAAAAATCTTAAAACACATCTTTTTACTTGCAAGTACAACTTCCAATTTTCCAGCAGCTGTAGGTCTACCTGACTCACACTATCCTTGAACTGAAATCAAAATAGGGGAAAAATTAATCAATCCTATCACATGAATTTAATCAGCCCTTACCATAACCATCTATTTGCGTTTAACTGTGTTATTTATTTGGCTTCACAGTTCAACTGTAACAAAAAGATCTGGTGCTTTATTCTCCCAGCTGGAAGAAAGTACATTACACTGCAAAGTGAACAGCGCAGCCGGCTGAATAAAAAAAAAAAAAAGGAAGGCTCAAGGAATGGGGATACAGCACATAAAGCTGGCTAGCATTAAGTCTGCCAGCTCTGCTCCTGTAACACGTCATTCCGGAATCCTTACTCTTACCATATTTTGTTTTCTATAGTAACTATTTAAGTGAGCTACTTTGACATCACACTTAAAGAGATTTTGCAAGCTTATGCATTACTTTGCAACAGAAAAGTTCTAAAAGCAGCTCAGAGTATTCATTTGGGACCTGGAGATGAAAATTCACCTTCTCTGCCATATATGATGTATAACCTTAGGCTCCATAGCCTATGCAAAAGTTGGGATTCTGAAAACAGACAAGGAAACCAAAGACCCAAATGCCATCTTTTACACAGGGCCACTTGAAAATCCTCTTTTAACCTCACTCCCCACTTCAAAGATGCTGATGTATTTTACTAAAAAGTATTAGCCCAACCTTTTATTCTAACTCACAGGATGCCAAAAGGACAACCAGATTAAAACTAGTGAAGGATTTACACAATAGTAATAGGGATAATGTTACTGTGGCAGATGCTGATAAAAACTACAATGGTTGAGGTAGGAAGGGACCTCTGGAGGACATATGGTCCAAACCCCCTGCTCACACAGGGCCACCTACAGCCAGCTGCCCAGGACTACAGATGGGTTGGGTTTGTGTATCTCCAAGGATGAAGATTCCACAATCTCCCTGGGCAGCCTGTGCCAGTGCTTGGTCATTCTCACAGTAAAAATGTGTTTCTTAATGTTCAGAGGGACCTTCCTGTGCTTCAGTTTATGCCCATTCTCTCTTTCTACCCATTGCCCCAGGTACGTATACATGTACAGACAAGCATAACTGCTATACAGATCTATTATAGACCTATATATCTAAATCTATACATAACTAGATGCACAGACCTACTATTTATGGATACAGCTATATATCTATCCGCAAGTACAGCTTACCTACTTGTATTATTTTAAATTGTGCCTGTGGGGATCATTTCTAAATTTAAACTGAAGCCCCATTAAGCTATTGTGCAGCTCTGCACACAAATGCTTCTAAACAACTTTATTAACATATCAAAATAGAAGACTACAAATAAATGTTTGCTATTTCTTCAAACTGAGATACAGAAGTTCAAATTAAGTCATTTAGTTATGGTGTGCACATATTCCCATGCATCTAACAGCCTGCTTATTTTCTGATGTTGGTAAGCTAATAAAACCCTACATTTATTTAAAACTGAAATTATCTGTAACAAACCCATTTTCTGGTCCCTGTGTTTGGACTTATGAACTGCATAATTTGGGGACTCATTGATTTTGATGTTGCAGCAGAGGATTAGTCTTACCAAAACCAGGTTTACGCTACCCTGTGATATTCTGGCTCAGTCTTGTGGATTGTAGTCTTTTTTTCTCCCATAAAAGATCAAATTCTTTCTGCCATTGTGTCTTATACCATGCAGTGCCTTATCTCCCAGTCTGCAATTAAGATCTCTGCTGGGGAAGATTTGTGCCTTTGAGGGTGTCCCCCTTACCCCAGTAAGAACTTACTGTCAGACCAGTGGTTTGCCAATGTGCATCTGATCACAGGATTTAAAACCCAGGGTTTTCAATGGGGTAGACTGATTATATGGCGCTGTAAACATGTGTTACAGGGGGACAGCAACCACATGGCCTGCATGTCTTAATTTTGTACTGAATAGCTTTGTTCAATGGCTGCTTCTATTTATCTTCCTGAATTCATCTTCATACCTGGCAATTCCAAACAAGAAAAACAATGAAAAAAACTGCCAGAGGAAAGAAAGCATAATTTCAGGGAGAGATTGCAGTTTTAGGTTTAATAGATTTATGTGTGTCTATGTGCATGTGTCCACATATGTTCTCATGATGATCAGACTTCTCACAGTTTTGTCATGGCATAGTTATCCTAAACATCACAGGCTCAAGAGATCAGCCACACCTGCTGGTACTATAAATATCTCCAGTTTTGAAGTTTTCGACACTTGCGGAAAGTGTGACATTTTACTGGATAGGTGACTTGGAAACATAATTAGCACAATGTTTCCTTCTTCTAAGATAATGAAAACAGAAAGAAATCTGCGTAGATGGGGACGAGCGTGGGGAGGGAGAGGAGAAACAAAGGGAAATGTTTTCCTGGCAGCACACGAAGGTTAAAAGATAATGCAATACTATTAATAGCCATGAAGCATTTTGAAGAACCGGCCACAAGAAAGGTTTAAAATAAATGCGGAGGAGGGATGGATGCTGTGGGCAAGAGAAAGTTCCAGACTTATGGGACAGCATGAAAGTGAATTTGAAGACTGAGCAAATACAGGAAGGCTAAAGTTTATAATAGGGATTGCCTGAACTGAGAGAAATTAGAGGCCACTGACAAGTCATAGACAGACAATGCCCATGGGTCTTAACAAACAAGGATCTGCCATCTTTCCCCACTCATCATCATTATTAGCTAGACAGAAAAATCAAACAAGATCTGTGTTTTCTTTTATTAGTCTCAGGATGCACAATGTCTGCAACTTCAAGTACACCCTAGAAAAGTCTAAGGCTATTTTTACAAGCTCAATGACTTCCTGGAACAAATTTTTGGACAGCTTTCAGGCTGTCTTTTGATGCAATCTGAAGTACTCTGCAATACCATTTTGTACCTTATTTTTATAATGTCAAAATTACTGAATGTCATCTGCTTCCCTTACACTGGATGCAGCTGAACCCATTATACAACTGTTTCCCCATAATTAGACTTGAAATGTGATACATGAAACTTACTCAGAACTACTACATACTGGAAAGGCTCAAAAATTCAACAGCTAGATTAATACAGAATGATTCATGGAAAAAAATTGCACATTGAGCCATATTCTGCAATACAAAAGGCCACCTTCCTTTTTCCAAGATTTCATGAGATATGGAAAACTGCAATGTGTGTACATTTTCTTCCAGTTTATTAATTTTTGCTTGTCACTAGGAAATGTTCCCTCAATTAAAATGTTTAGAATTTAGAAAAGGTATTCTGTCTCTTTACTGACAAATTTTTGACTTCACACTTGGAACAGAAGAAAAGCCAAACATTGATAACTTACAATTGTAACTATAAAGCTAAACTGTGTTAGATTTTTTAAGTTCTTTGTTTTTAAGAGTATTCTGTTGGCTGACAGCAGAAGTTTGGGGTTTACAAAGAAGGTCTTCTGGTCAACCTTTCTTTCCTAATAGCACTGAGAATAATGCTGATGCTAATATTTAGCACAACCTCAACTATATGTCACCAGAGGTGACCACTCCAAATTAAAGAAGTATATCCTAGATATCATGTTATGCTTGAAATATACAGTATATATTCAAATATATAATATACAATCAAAGGCTGCATCAGGCACCAAACTCTCTGCCATGATCTAGCTGAAGATGTTCCTACTCATTGCAGGGGAGTTGGACTGGATATCCTTTGAAGGTCCCTTCCAACCCAACTATTTCTACAATCCTACCATTAAGACCATTATGAAGGATAGGATCAGCATGGGGAATGTCCCTGGCTGCTGCCTGGCAAAAACTACTGACTCCTGAGCACTTCAGCAATCCCCAGTCTCTGATGAGAAAAAAAAAAAAAGGTGGCTAAACCAGGGTCAGGCCCTACCTCTAGTGCTGGTGATTTTTATCCACAGGATGTAAGAAAAGGAAAGGCCTTGTTTCTCATCTCTTCATATGAAAAGTGGATATTTTTTCTCCCCCTCAGTACTAGCAGTTCTCTCGTTGTTAGCTTTACTGTGCCAAAGCAACACCAACGTAACAGCTTTTTACTGTGCCAAAAGGTAAAACAGAACCAAGCAAATTTCCTGATGATTCTTCCAATGCTACTTGGTTCTTTATTACTTGGGCTTTTCCCCATTGAGCTGCCACTGTACCACACCACTATCATGTATCAGTGAGCTATATGATTATTTCAAATATGGATCAGCAGAATGCATGGGTTCTGTTTCTGTCACCATATATACATACAGACGAAAGATGTGTTCATTCAATTCATAAAGTAGAATTCAAGGAACAGCTGGACCAAGCAATCCCCACTTTGCATGGATGCCAGTATGTAAGGTAAG